TCGTCCGGGACTACTGCAGAAGTCGTGCATTGTCCCGTGGGGGAGTGTTAGCCGATAGAATCGGGCCAGGACGGCCGAACCGCCGTTAGATAATTACCCCTTCCGTCGAATATTTCTCCGTTCAACTTATCCTCTGAACTTTATTCGATCGTCTCTGGTTTTATGCGTGTGAGTGGAATGTGATAAGTATAGAGACATGTAGAATTGATGCATGCTCTTTTTCCCCTCTGTATTACCATCTAATTATCAGCAAACAACTGCCTCAGATCTTCTACGTCATACAAGGTGAATGTTACACCGGGCGTAATCGGCAAAAGATGTTGAGCCGCTATAGCTTTCTGTCTTGACTCTCCAAACTCTGTCATAATCTGTGATGAGGAGCGTGTCTCGAGATGTCTCAGTTTGTCTCGTGTATCCTCAGTGCCATGTATGTCATCAGGAACGCCGACCTTTAATTTCACACTCCAAATGGTGTCTCTGTAGTGAGGGCTGCGAGTACCAGCAAGGTAAGCTGCAACATGTAAGCCACCATCTGAAGGGGGAGGTCCGATGGATGAGTTTGTACCCATGATTTCAACTTTGTTTGCGGATAAGTGAGATATGTAGGTGTATGAATTATCTCAGTGATGGGGGCCCCTGTTTATCTCTTTTGCATCATTCAGGAAGTGTGTATGTAAAGTTTGAGGTAAAATGGGCTTCAGCTTGGTCAATGAAGGGAGGGGTGAGATTTGGAAAATGACATCATCAACATACTGTGTGATATATACCCAAAAGCAGTGCTGTCCAGAGCTGTGCAGATCTAGGCCTTGAAAGTCATACCAACTCCGAAAATTCGTTTCGGGGCATCGCCTTCGACGTGATTTCACCAAGGATTCGGTTTCGGACCATGTCGTCGCACGGATCATGTCGTTCACCGGTCATACGCTGTCGTCGGAGGCGGAAGGCTGCATCACAACAACCACGTAGCGCACAGTGATGGGAACACACTTCATGTGGAGTTCTGCCTGGTTTTCTCTCTCACACAATCTGCTTGCTGACCGATGGGAGAGTTGACGCTGCGGAGAGTCATGGGCAGGACCAAGTCAATGACAAAATTATATGAGTCCGTCACCTATTGATCATTCGGCATTATCGTCTGCATGATACATATATCTACCTATTGTTCATTCAGCGCTATCATATGAGTGATGAATACACATCAAATTTCACAACTACCTATTCCGAGATACAGCAAAGTTTGCCGCATTAGGGCCAGTGGGACTCGTGATCACACTATTTAAGTCCTTTGGTCAAGATGGCTCAAGGATTTCCCAAACAAGGGCTTGCTATTGCGTAGCGATCAGAGAATCTTCGTGAGTTCATAGAATGGAAGATATATTCGTATGAGGGAGTTGCTACAACCTTTGGACAACATCTCTGCAGACAACCCTCGGGGAGTTTTTCATGAGGACCCCCAAATCCCTGATTTCCTGATACGAAGTGCGGCAGGTACGTTTGTGACAGACCATGAGGCACGGAAAACTCCGCTCTTCCGAGCTAGACAGTCTCTCATGCCCCTCTGCTGTGCCCTGTGCATCTGCCACTTGGGAAGTTCTCAATTCAAAGAGCTTATACATGTCTCACTGAAAACTTGAATGTTCAAAAGAATCAGTGATATCATCTTGGTGCTGAGGAGAAGTTGGGGAGAACAAGGACGTAGAGCACAACAGCAACACACCAAGTAAAGTAGGTACAGGGTCAAGTTCCCTTCAAATTACCAGGGACGTTTATCACTAGGGTATCAAGATATCGTCTTCCAACAATGCTGCATTCGTGGCGTAAATTTATCCATTGCCTAACGGACAGAGAGTGACAATAATTGGGAGCAAGCAGCCGACAGTTTAACGGGAGGAAATGGAGCTTGATCAGGATCTCGGGGGTTAAGGATGTGATGTGTTGGGCAAGACGTTTCACGTGGTCATTCCATACCAACTCCTGGCTCCTCAATTCCCATACTGAATTTGTTACCGTGGTGTGGTGGTGTTGAAGACGCATCTCCCACTCTTCATCGGTTTCCTCCACCTCAGCAGTTGGAGTACCTAAAGGGCTCTCCCACCTGGGATAAGTGGTTGAACTGTGCTGGCAGTGTGGGTTAGTAGTTGAAAGAACCCTAAATTCTGCTTTGTATCAAGAGGAGATGGGTGCAGCTGATTGGGTTGTTGTACAACAGCCTCCTCAACATCTAATTGTCCAACTGCTGTTTCTTCCTCCCACGCATGTATTCATACATTCTTTTCCTATCTCCTCTTTCCAATCGTAATGAAAACTACAGGTCCAATGCATAATTGATTTTGATCAGTGGTGTTGTGGAAACCTCCCCTAGGGGTCCTGATACTTCAACGTGTCACATGTCTTCGGGCGGTCATGATCGTACCGGTGACACTTCGAAGTGTCACGTCTTCCATACGTCACCTAACAGGTTTCTTCTCAACGTAGTTCCACTTCTTATTAGGATACAACTCCTGGAACCCCTTCAAGGCCTCAAAGTCGTCAAATGAGTACTTAGTCAAGTTGGCACTGGTTAATGGCTTCAACAGACCTTCCGCAGCTTTGATTGCCTTATTGGGGACTTCAGCTTGTGTCTCATACTCTCCTGACAGTTGCATATGAATTTTGCTCAGCTTGTCTTGTACAGAGTCCTGCATGGACTTAGGAAAACCAACCCTCCAGTCTACGGTCCATAGCATTGATGACTGGGCCACGCCTGGGTATTGTTGGGCGGCTCAATTAAGGTCTGGATCCGGTAGTCGTAGTCGAAACTTTTCTTCATCTGTTTATGCATTAAGTTATTCTCTTCTTCACTTTTCAACAGATTAGACCCGTGCTTTAACCGACTAAGCGAATTCAGCAAGCATAACCTACCCATCGCTCGTTCACTTGTTCACTCGACCAGCCCGACCAACGGGCCTCCTCGCTCGTCTTGTCACTGCTGGAGTATAGATAGGGAAGTCAGGAAGACTAGCCTTTTGTGTGAGTGGGAGTGCGACGAGCCTTAGGTTCTTATACCAACAGTCGCTTCACTTGAACGTCATTGTCTTCTTGCTTGTTCGAACGGCTGACCACCACATACATAGAGAATTCGACCGACATCGACTAGATCGAAATGTCCTGTCCTGTCCTTATCTCGCTCGATATCAGCATCATCACCCCCATCATGTCGTCCAATGATCTCTCCAAATCGTTTGACACTGTGCCCAAGCTCACTGGGAAAGAGAACTACCTGGTATGGCATCAGAGGTTAACAGTTGTCCTCTTCATGACTCGAACTTGCTCGTTCGTTCTCCCCACCACCATTGCACCAACTGCTACCACTACAATCCCCTCCACTGGATCATCCCTTTCGCTCAAAGCCTGGAACAAACAAGATGAACAGGTTGCTGCCGCCATCCTCCACTCCACTTCTGAGGATATCCTCTCTGCTCATCTTCACCTTTTGTCACCCATTGATCCTCCTTCGACCGATCGACCGGTTTCCACCACCATTGCCCCTGCTTATCGAGCTCGAACAATCTATGATTCCCTCAAGAAGACCTATGGAACTACTGGTGCTCAATATTCGTTCGCTCTTGGGAAGAAATTTGTGGAGAACCGGTGTTCAGAGGATGAGGATGTTGAGGAATGGGTGAACAAAGTGCTCGCTCAATATCGTGATCTCAAAGTTCTTTCGTACGATCTCAATCAACTCTGTGTCAATGTTCTCCTCAATGGTCTTCCTGATCGCTTCAGTTCGTGTTATGACCCTACGTGTCATGCCCCAAGACATTGGGTAAACCCATACTTAGATGTACTCAACTAGTGTGTTCTGCAGTGGGATAGGGCAATGACATCACCAAAGATATCACTGTGAGATGCTCATTGAGATTCACTATCTTCAATGACATCACCGAAGAATATCATAGAGAATAACTTAGAGAGGTAGATGTTCTCTTCGATATTCCCTGTGATAATCTCACAGCAATATCTCAGGTTCAGCCATATATATACCCACCCACTGGGTCGCCAGCGCGTAGAAAGCGTAAATTGCGGTGAGGTCAG